GCAGGGCAATCCCTGTGGGATTTTTTTGGTGTGTCGAGAAGATGAAGCCAAGAAGCACTTGAATAGTTTTTTTGCTCCCAGTGCTTTTTAGAGCCCCCACAGATATAGAAAGGGAGATGGGTCTATTCTAGTAATTGGGTTTAGCAGTCCTACACCAATGTGAGCATAGTCGTAGGAAAGTGTGAGAAAATTCATCAAATGTTAAAATCTTCTATAACAATAAATACTGATAGAAAAAGATACAAAAGGGAGATGGGTAGACTGAATTAATCCAAAGAAGTGAGTATGCTGATATCACCCAAGGATTTTGGTAAGATCATAACTGGTAAACAAAAGGAGAATAGAATCAGAAATTAATGGACCAAAATTAGTGTATCAGAAATTCTATCTAATTGGTACACAAAATAATGAAGGGTTGTCATTCCATTCATCAGCTCCTTGAGGTCCTTGAAAAAGAGACTTTGGAGCAAATATGGCAGGAATCATAGGACTGGAAGAGACCTCAAGAGGTCTTCTAATCCAGTCCTACCATGACTGCAGGGGACTAAGTATTATCTTGACCATCCCTGAAACCTGTTTGTCCAGCCTGCTCTTAAGAACCTCCACTGATGGAGATTCCACACCCTCCCTAGGCAGTTTATTCTAGTGCTTAACTACCTTGATAGGATGTTTTTCCTAATGTCCAACCTAAACCTCCCTTGCTGCAATTTAAGCCGCTTGCTTCTAGTGCTAATCTCAGAGGTTAACAAGAAAATTTTTTCTTCCTCCTCCTTGTAACAACTTTTTATGTACTCTAAAACTGTTATCATGTTCCCCCTTCAGTCTTCTCTTATCCAGACTAAACAAATCCAAGTTTTTTCAATCTTTCCTCATATGTTTTGTTTTCTAGACCTTTAATCAGTTTTGTTGCTCTCCTCTGGACTTTCTCCACATCTTTCTTGAAATGTGCCTACCAGAATTGGAGACAATACTCCAGTTGAGGCTATATCAGCACGGAGTAGAGTGGAAGAATTACTTCTCATGTCTTGCTTACAACACTCCTGATACATCCCAGAATGATGTTTGCTTTTTCTGCAACAGTATTACACTGTTGACTCCTATATTAGAATAGAAGGAGCAAACTTTACTATCATGGCTGCCATCCCCACTGTCTCCTAAGATCCCAGGATCCACCATAACAATACTGTTGGGCCTTCTTTGTTCTGATGCTGAAAGATACCCTGATCAGACTGGGCCAGATAGAGGGAACCAATGACATTGCTACAGTGGCTTCGGCTAAGTCTAAAGTAAACAACACTTAGAATGTGAGACTTGGTTTCCTGACTCCCTCTCTCGTGTGTTGTCTTTTTTCCTTTCCTACCTTATTTTTCTCTTTCCTATCTTTCTCCTTTTGCCTTCTGTTTAATAACAGTCTGGCTTAGCTGGCCAAGACTGCAGCTTTTGCAGTGCTGTGTTGAGGCTGTGATCAGAGAGGCAGATAAAAGCAGTTCTTTAATCAGTCTGAGCCTGGTACAAGTTGGTTAGGTCTCAGAGTAGCTGATAAAACCGTTTGTTGTGCCCATGTTTCTCCAGCAGCAAGGCTCAAGTGAGAGTTGGCACCAAAGACAGAAGCTGCATCTTCTATCTTTGCAGTTCGTTTCTGTTCCTTTTAATGTGTGTTTTGTCCCCATGGAAATGGGATCAGGCTTCTACAATTGCTTTGGACTATCTCCGCTAACTTCTCTTTTCCCCAAAAAGGGCAGTTAATGCAATCCGAAAGACTGTCAAATGGGTTTTTCGGTTTTTCCCCCGATAAAGACTCTGCAGCTACAGGGATTAAGAGATGTTGTTAAAAGCTTTACTTAATATTTCAAATGCTTTAACTCTTTCCTCCCTTTTCTGTATCTTGAATAAAAGGTTAAAGATTTCTGGTGGTGGCTGGTGGTTGTTACAATAAGAGTGAGCGAGCATAACATGATACAGAACCCCAGACCACATGTAAATGTTTAATGTTGTAACAATAAATCAGGGTTTTATTAATATCGTGTTCCTTTTTGGGCCTGACACATACCCTTTTCAACAGAACAGAGCCTAGAAATAGCAGGGCTTGAGATAAAGCAAGATATTTGTGTGTCATACAAGAATTTGATGGTAATTTCCAAAGCCCTTATTGAGCAAAACAAACGTTTTTAGAACTTTTTGACGGTCGTTCACTTAAACATGGGTTATAGAAATGGCTAAGTAGATGTACCATTTCTTCTGGATAATGGTACATCATCCCAAGAATTGCAAACCAAAGACCCTTACTAGTGTGAGTAATCCTTCCACCCTTAAACGGTCCCATTGAAGTTAGGGGCCGTATTCTGCATTCAGTCACAACAGTGTAAATTTGGTGCAACTCACTGAAATTAAGGATTACTACCATGAATAAGGTCTGCAGCTTTGTGTTTCAAAAAATGAAATGTGAACCCCTCAAAGATGTTTTGTGCTTCTACTCTTTCTGTGTAAATGAGTAATTAGTAGATGAGGCCCTGATAATTAGATAGGCCTCACTGAAAAAGAATGAAATTACAGGGTACCATTAAAGTGATTTATTAATTAACAGACAAAAAACAAAACCAATTTGTCCATTTCAAAAACATGCTTTTTTAAAATGTTGAATCAGAATTGTTTGGCAAAAACTAAAGCAAAACAATGAGGGAAATGGAATTACAATAGGGAACAGAAAGGAAACTGTTTCAGTCCCAAGTTATGCATTTTTACAGTACATAGGCTCCATTTACTGTAGGAAAAAATACATTTTATATGTCTGTTCATGTGTATAAGGTCTCTCTCACAAACACACACAGACTGATAGATTGTTTACAACAGTATTTCCCACAGAGTTGAAAGATGCAATGTCCAACATCCTCATAAACTAAAAGTTAAATCCAAAAGGTTCATAATCCAAAACAGAGAAGGAAAAGGTAACAGGTAGTATACAGAATATATCCCAGAATTGTCAAATTCAATAGGACATCACTGATAATTTCTGGACCCTTTTATTTTACCTAAGTTACATTTTGTTCTGTTCATTGTTTGGTAGAACTAATCCAGATAATTTTAATATACTTTTTGAGCAAGGCCAGTATCATTTTCTCATGTCACATTTCCTGACAACAGAAGGCACTTCCAGTGCTCAGAGTAAATTTGTTCTGACAGATGTTTTATGTAATCAAGAAACCTTAAAGCTAGTTCTAAAATATTAATAAACACACAAAATATCTAGATATACCTAGAAATTCCTTAATTTTAGTAAAGGCCAACTAACACATTTGGTATGTATACTGAGACATTCTTATTTATATTACCGTGAACTGTCTAAATCTAATTATTTTTTATATCAGGCACTGCTGGCTGCAGTTTTCAAAAGTGTTTTGTGAATACTGGTATTGGCTTTGTTGATAATTAGGCATGTTCATAAACAGTGCACTAGAAGTAGGTTAAGAAGGTCACCAGGCCAGAAAATGCAGCTGCTTTTCCAGTGACAATGAATACCTGAGCTAAAATGGAATATACTCATCTATACTATAACTTATAATTTCTTTACTTGATGGGCACAAATCCTACCAATCAACACATTCAAACTTTGTAAATAACCCTGGGCCAGAGTCCAGATCCTGTTAAGTACTAAGCACCTCCTGAGAGGAATTAAGCATCCACAGTTCCCACTGACTTGAACATGAAGTAAGGGTGCTCAGCACCTTGTTGTTATGAGCCACAAATATTTTACAGGCAAATCATAGTCTTTACTCTGGCAAAATTGCCATTGAAGATGGGGACAAATGACTGAGAACTCTCACTGCCCAGCGTGGATACTGAGCTGTGTGTGTGGGGTCTCCACAGGAAGGTTGGGCAAAGGGCTGAGCAAGGCTATAGTAGCCTAAGTTCCCTGTAAGCTATGTGGCCATGCAGCAGCCTATTTAGTGCCACTCAAGGAACCTGCCCAGCCAGGACCTGCGGTGGCCAGGGGAGAAGCGCTCCTCCCCTGGTCCCAACCTAGCCTGGCCCCTAACCTGCCGGGTGATGGGCAGCCCAAACCCAGCCCTGGCCCAGACCTGCTGTGGCTGAGACACCCCTCCCCCAGCCCCGGACCTTCTGCAGCCGGGGGAGGGGTGCCCCGGCCCAAACCCAGCCCCGGCCAGGACTTGCCGCAGCCCAAACCCAGCCCAAACATGCCGTGGCCGGGGTGCCTATCCCACAGTCCCAACCCCGGAGGTACCCCTCCCCCCCAGTCCAGGTGCTGCTTCAGGGAGAGAGAACTGCGGGGAGTCCTCTTTCCCTGCCGTAGCCCCAGAGCACCCTCCTGCACCCCAAACCTCTCATCCCCGGCCCCACCCTCCACCTTGAGCCCTTGCTCCCCCCCACCCCATACCCCAACCCTCTGGCACAGCCCTGAGCCCAGTTCCAACCTCTCAGCCCCACCCCCACCACATGAATTTTGTTATGTGCACCAATATGAAGGTGATGTGTACATAACAAAATTCATTCCCCACATGTGTGGGGAAAAATTAGAGGGAACACTGATAGTAGCCCCCCTTTCTGGGTACCAATCCATCATCCTCTGCCCCACCTGTGTCCTGCTAAACCCCTGTTGACCCCCATAGATTCCCTGTGTCATTGCAAACAGGTAAGGGATATACACTCCCTACAAGCCTTCCCTCCCCCATCTGCTCCTCCCATGTTTGCAGTGGAACCCAGCTGGATCTCTGCACCTGTGAAGGGCAGGGAACTGAACCAGGACTGCAGGATTTGGCCCTTATGCTACACTTTTCAGTGATCTCTCTTGCATGTCTTTCCTAGAATAAGCTTACAAAACAGATTTAAGTTCAGGCAAAGTTTCAGTTTTTCTAGAAAAGCTGTTTTTGCACCAATGCACAAACACCAAAACCTTTATAAATGAAGCTGACACACAGTGAAAAAGGTCCCTGACACCATCTTAAGTCTTGAGAACCAGTATTGTATGTTTTTCTGTTTAAAAGTGTGAAAACTTTAGTGCTAAGTTGCCTTTTTTTTTTTTTTTTTTTTTGCTCAAGACTTTAGTATTTCAGTCTTAAAAACACTAGTGGTCAAATTCTCTTCTCACTTCCACCAGTAAGTACACCCCTACTGATTTCAACAGAATTGCATCAATGTGTTTGAAAGCAGAATTTGATGAGGATCTTGTTACACTTTTTCATTTGCTTTCTTGTTGTGGAGGAATAGAACCGTTGCATTAGTCAGCAGTTTCTGAATTTTGACCCACAATAGAAAAGATACCACAAGACAGGAGAAATAGATGGAGGCAATTACAAATAGCCATTTGATTGATGGTTGACATTGTTAAGGCCTTAACTGTATGTCAGGTTGCAGCGGTGTTGAATTCCCATCACTGCCAGTGGGTGTTGCTATGGGCAACAGTGCACTGAAGCCAGTAAAAAGGAAAGGAAAGGAAATGAGGGAAAACTCAACCTTGGAGGAAGCTATAGGATATGTACTTTAAATTATGGTACACTTACCAATATGCAATATCAAAATTCAGGAAAGCTATGTACTGTATAGCTGCCAGCAGTACCAAATCAGTCATGGTATCTGCTTTTCCCATAAAGCACATATTATATAAATAAGTTTTATACAGGTTTGCAGCAGACTATCCCAGCTCTTTCATTACTGGGGAAGGAGCGAGGAGGTGGAGAGGTAAGAGAAACAAGTTCATACAGTGCAGATTTTCATCTCTGTATAGCATAGATTTTCTCCCACCCCCCATTTCTCTTTGGTAGCAAACATGATATGGTTCAGTGGTTTAGATAACTAGATTTTCTTGCAGTGGTTCTGGAATCTTCAGGCATTCTAATGTCTACAAAAATTATAAGTAGTACAAAGTATTTTAGTAAATGGACATCTTTTTAAAAATCGTCAATTAGATAGTAATGGTCAGATTTTCAAAAGTGCTCAGTGCCCACCTGATTTAGGTGCCCAGGTGGGAGAGTATGGTACTTGGCTCTTTTGAAAATCTGGCCCTATGGGTAATTCTGATTTTGGTTACACCAATGACAATCCAGAGTATCTCCACTGAAGTTGGAGGAGTTATTCTGGTTTGACACCAGTGTAAAAGAAATCTGAATCTGGCTTTAATTTCTTATGCTGTTTTTACCTAGTGGTAGCCATTCCTAGTTTCAAAATGACATTGTCATGGGCTCCAATAACTGATGACCATAGTAACTTTCTTTTTTCCTGAATGGGGCAGTGTGATGCTTAAGAAGCCGTAAAGGTGGGAAGCATTCTATCATGCATCCTCTTGTATTCAGGTGCTTGGAATAGAGCAAGCAGCCTCAGATTACAGAGCTGTTTTGCCAAGGATCTCTGCACTAATTTAAGAGGCCAACTTTCTTGTGCTAGTGTGGTCACTGAGAACTAGACATGTTTGAATTCTTGATCTATCACAATTGATTAAAGTTTTATGTACAACTGTTTATCAGATATGTGACCTTGGATTTGCTTTCTGCTAGCTGTCATAGGGTAAAAGAGATGGTAAGAGAAATAGGAGGAAGTCAATATCCAGTGTGATGGTACTCTATTCCCCCTACCCCCATTTCTTATGGGTAACAGTCAAAATATTCATCTCTGTTGGAAATCATATCAGAAAAACACATCCATAGTAAACCCTTCAATGCAGATTCTCTAGTACAAGGCAATACACTTCCTTTTTATCCTATTTTCATTAAAGGCCATTAGTCCTTTCCTTGGGGGACAGTGCAGCTTAAAAAATGAATGCTTTAAAATAGTTTTTCTAAAAAAAAATGAACCCAAATTACCATGCAATAATTTTTGCCTTTATACAAATTTCCACCTGTAAAGTAATTCACTGCATTGTTAATATGAATATCTTAGTGGAGCTGGGACAGGTTGATATTTTTAAAGATAATAAAGTTTGTTTTTAAATGTAGCGAAGACAGGCAATTCTGAAGGCCCTGATCAATCACTAAGAAGCTTTGTTGTAAAAAAATACTTCTGTAGAATACAAAGCAGGCTTTTCAGAACACTCAAGCATAAAAGAGGAAGGAAGAATGAGAGAGACATTACAAAAGCAGGCATAACTGGTTCATAACAAATACTGAAAAGATCCAGAACAAAAAGGAAATGCACACTATTCTGTTTTCCTGCAGCTCCTTGCATATGCATTGATAAATGTGCATTCCAAGTCTGCTCTGTATTTATTTATTTTATTAAGCTGAAGTTCTTGTATTTCAGTCTGTAGTCTGGTGTTTGTGTGTGTGTTTTGGTTTTTATTACAGCAGCAGTTGAAATGTGGTAGAGCTGAATGACTGCTTCTTTGTGCTGTATCTTCCATGTGACTTCAGATATCAGCATCATCTTATTACAGGCCTTCTTTTCAGACCAACTGAACTCCTACATAAAGCCATGGCCAGCAAAATTATATCCAATCAATTAATCAGGTCCGTAGAAGCATTTTTTTTAAAATGATGCAACTAAGCTTACAACTCTGCCTTTCAGACAGCTGTTATCACAACAGCAGCTGACATTCGCAGGCTTAATGTATGTCTTCAAGAGACAAAGTAAAGCTGGAAGATGAGGAGGAGGGTGCTGTCTGGGAGAGAAGTGTTTTCTGGTCCAGCTCCTCCCATTTACCCCTGTTTACTGACACAGAGTCCAACATGGGCTTCAGTTTCACATTCATCTTCACTAGAGACTGGAGAAAGATTAAAAAAGGAAGAGAGACAAACAAATAAATACTGACAATATTTCTGATCCTCTGATCCAACACACAGGGAACAACTGGATGAAGGGAACCAGCTGGCTGCACCAGTATTGATAACCCCAAACATTCAAAAATCATGAGATTGGCTTAAAAATCAAGACATTTTAAAACAATACATTTTAGGTTCTTTTTATTTGTCTTCTGGGTTTGAGCTTTCAGGGTGTAGTCAGGTTACATTTTCAAACTTCTCTCCACAGTCATGAGGGCTAGAGACTTAGGGTGACATCCTCACCCCAACTCCAGCCTCTTTCTACTGCTACTTTACCCAGTACAAAGGCTCGAAAAGCCCTGTATGCAGATAAGGAAAATGGTTTCCAGTGTAGGCACTGGGGCAGACAGGCGTAAGACTTTCTCTCAAGGACCCTTTCACAATTTCCAGGTGTATGTAGGGGTATGTGTTGGGAGCAGGGCCGCAGCATGCAGTGCTGTGGAGATGCCAGACAGCAATGTGACCTGTAGAGTAACTTGGGAAGGCTGCTAAAGGCCTCTCCAGCCCCTGGGGCAGCCCAGGATCAGAAGGGGGCATCTGCAGTTCCTGGAGCTGTGAGTTCTGTGCTGAGTCACTTAGGGTATGTTCTTAACTTGGGTTAGCTAACTCTGGTTAAAATAGCAGTGAAGCCTTGGCCACTTGGCTTTTAACTGGGTTTAGCAGCTCTAGTTAAAGCCTGTAGGAGAGCCTAGGGTTGAACTCAAATTGCTAACAGGAGTAAAAAGTCAAGTTCCTGTGCCTTTACTGCTATTTAAACCTCAGTTAGAGAATGTGGGTTAGCTACCCTGGGGTAAGAACACACCTTTTTTGCTGGTTAGTCATACCGTAAGTGGCTCACAGATCAAAGGAATGGTTTGTGTGCACCCTTACTGATCCTGGGGTGCTCCAGGGGCTAGAGGAGGGATGGGCAAACTACGGGCCGCATCCAGCCCATCAGACATTTTAATTCAGCCTTCGAACTCCCACCAGGGAGTGGGGTCTGGGGCTTGCCCTGCTCCAGCTTGGGAGCAGGGTTGGGAGCTTGCCCCGCTCCACGGGGCTCCCAGAAGCAGAGGCGTATTTCCCCTCTGGCTCCTATGCATAGGGAGAGTCAGGGGGTTCTGCACACTTCCATGCCCCACGCACCGCCCCCACAGCTCCCACTGGCTGGGAGCCGCGGCCAATGGGAGCTGCAGGGGCGGCGCCTGTGGGCAGGGAAGTGCTCTGAGTAGCCTGGCTGCGCTTTCACATAGGAGCCGGAGGGGGGAATGTTGCTGATTCTGGGAGCTGCTTGAGGTAAGCGCCACCCGGAGCCTGCACCTCTGACCTCCTCCCGTGCCCCAACCTTCTGCCCAGCCCTGATTCCCTCCTGCCCTCGGTCCCAGCCCAGAGCATCCTTCCACACCCCAAACTCCTCATCCCCAGCCCTACCCCAAAGCCCCCAGATAGAGCCGTCATCCCCCCCACACCCAAACATCCTGCCCCAGCTTGGAGGCCCATCCTTGCACCCTGAACTCATTTCTGGCCCCACCCCAGAGCCCGCACCCCCAGCCGGAGCCCTCACCCCCTCCTGCATCCCAACCCCCAATTTTGTGACCATTCATGGCCCGCCATACAATTTCCATATCTAGATATGGCCTTCTGGCCAAAAAGTTTGCCTATTCCTGGGCTAGAGCCATACCCTTAGAAGTTCAGCATAAAATCTCACCCTGACTTTTTGTTTGAAATGAAAGCCAAGAGTCTCACATAATCACTTGTCTCCAGCAGCTGGGGCTCTAAGTAAAACACCAGATAGCATGAGAAACAGAGTAATATCATGCAGGTTGGCAACACAATTAGTTTAGACTTCCTTTACTCCTGTGAGTCATGCCATTGATATTGCTGGGGCTACTCAGAAGGGTAAGGGTTGCAGGATCAGTCCTTTGGTCACTGGTATCTATGAACAGGAGGCCTATTAGTTAAATGACAAGATGCACAAAGTTAAAGAGTTCATGGGTTTCACATGAACGAGCCTCTGATCCCCTTGATAATGGTGAAGCTTAGATTTCACCTTATGTGTGTAAGCAATCCATTGCAGTCAGCAACTATCAGCACCTGCATGTGCTTTCCAAGGCTGGAGCCGCATCACTGCTCAGCTCAGTTTAGAAGTTCAGATAACACTCACGTAAGCTGCACATAGTCAAATAAAGAATGAATAATAAAGAATAAAGCCCCTCTGCCATGTACATTGGTCAAACTGGACAATCTCTATGTAAAAAAATAAATGGACACAAATCAGATGTCAAGAATTATAACATTCATAAACCAGTCGGAGAACACTTCAATCTCTCTGGTCATGCAATCACAGACATGAAGGTCGCTATCTTACAACAACAAAACTTCAAATCCAGACTCCAGCGAGAAACTGCTGAATTGGAATTCATTTGCAAATTGGATACTATTAATTTAGGCTTAAATAGAGACTGGGAGTGGCTAAGTCATTATGCAAGGTAGCCTATTTCCCCTTCCCCCCCCCCCCCCCCCCGACGTTCTGGTTAAACTTGGATTTAAACTTGGAGAGTGGTCAGTTTGGATGAGCTATTGCCAGCAGGAGAGTGAGTTTGTGTGTGTGTGTGTGTTTCCGGGGTGGGGGTGGGGGGTGAGAAAGCCTGGATTTGGCCCACCTTGATTACCATGCACATTGTAGGGAGAGTGGTCAGTTTGGATGAGCTGTTACCAGCAGGAGAGTGAGTTTGTGTGTGTGTGGGGGTGGGGGTGGGGGGTGAGAAAACCTGGATTTGTGCTGCTGGAAATGGCCCACCTTGATTATCATGCACATTGTAGGGAGAGTGGTCACTTTGGATAAGCTATTGCCACTAGGAGAGTGAGTTTGTGTGTGTGGTTTTTGGAGGGGGGTGAGGGAGTGAGAGAACCTGGATTTGTGCAGGAAATGGCCCACCTTGATTATCATACACATTGTGAAGAGAGTGGTCACTTTGGATGGGCTATTACCAGCAGGAGAGTGAGTTTGTGTTGGGGGGGGGGGGCGGAGGGTGAGAAAACCTGGATTTGTGCTGGAAATGGCCCAACTTGATGATCACTTTAGATAAGCTATTACCAGTAGGACAGTGGGGTGGGAGGAGGTATTGTTTCATGGTCTCTGTGTGTATATAATGTCTTCTGCAGTTTCCACGGTATGCATCCGATGAAGTGAGCTGTAGCTCACGAAAGCTTATGCTCAAATAAATTGGTTAGTCTCTAAGGTGCCACAAGTACTCCTTTTCTTTTTGCGAATACAGACTAACACGGCTGTTACTCTGAAAGTTACCAGAAAGGGTGCTGAGTTTTCTATCATCGCATTTGATGCTAAAAGAACTTATTGAATTGTTTGTGTCCTTTACTACTAAAACTCCAGACATGAATTCCTGGCACATGGACATTATTTAATAAAACACAGCTTGCAAAGGAAAAATACATTCACCCAACTAAGCATAAGCCCTACTGGAGCCCTACATCCAATTGGTGCAGGCATAAGCCTATGGAAAGAGACAGGGTCTTGCCCTGCACTCCAACAGTTAATAAATTAGCTCTGTCAGACCAGTGAGGTAAGTTCCAGAGTTGAGGAGCCTCTGCTAAGAGCACTTAGCTAACAGCTCCCAGACAGTTTAAATCTCAGGAGGACTGTTTCCTTAAGGGTCCCCAGAGCAGTGTGGCTTGGGAGAGAAGACCTATCTCGGGTAATCCAATATGCTGTGTAAATCAAACTCAGCATCTCACCCAAAGCCAAATTGAGTCAGGGAAAGAATGGCACCTACTGAATCATAAATACCATTTTCTGCAGGTCCTAGGATTTTCATTGGAGGTCTCCTATCCAAATATTGACCAGTTCCGACCTTGTTTAATGTATCAGCTTTGACAAGATTGCAGCCCAAGGAAGTATGACTGCAGGTCTAATATTTATAAAGCAAGCTATGCAATAAGACCACAAAAATTGAGACCTATAAAATTCTGACATGCTCAAAATAAAACAATGTTTACTCTGCTTTGGAATCCACTGATTTCTAATTACTCATTTTTATTGTGTAGGAACTTCCTGATTTTGGAAGGGAGAGTTAGCGACCAGGAAGCCATAGAGAGAAATTCAGATGAGGTATAAGTATGTGATGCTCCACTAAAGTTGATGGTGTCACAACAGAGCTGAACTGGACCCTGAGTTTTGCTGATGTGGCTTTCATAAGAGAAGAATACATGGGCCAAAGGTGAACCATTTATCCGAAACTCTGACTATTTTGAGATCAGAGGAAAATGGGACCTACAGCTGAGCCACCCACAGCTTTAGTCTGACAGAAGATGTTCTGCAAAACCAAAATCATCCTTTGGTTTGCTATCTCTGCATACAGGCTAGTACTGATAAACAAAACTCTCTTGCTAAAAGAAGTCTGTTTTCTGGAGCCTTGCTACAGAAGATGAAGGATAACAGCTTGAATAGCTTCCAGAAGCCTCTTTATGGAGTTGTGTGAGAACTTTGCTTTGTTTCAGCTTCTGTTGTCAGATCTCCAAAACAGTTAAGTGCACCACAAGAGGAGGCTACAGGTGTAGAAAAAGACTGTGCTCTCCCCATGATGGGTAGCCCACAAGGGACAAGCACGGCCCCCAAAGTCCTGGCTGGGAAGATGTGTGGCTAGGGCAGCTAGAAGATGCACTTAATCATTGTGTTCCTTTGAGACTTCTGCCAGTGCAGTTTTCTGAAGCCTACCAATATCATTTACAGCTGCTCTCCAAAGAAATTTCCAAAGGAGCATGGTGAAGAAAACAGTGCCTGCCCTCACTAGGGAATGAATCCACCTGGATGTAGTGACCCCCAATGATGCAGGAGGAGCAAACTGAGGAGTAGTGATCTGGCATACAAAATATATTCAACATCCTTTGAACTGAACAGTTATTAAAGTTTCCTTCGGGTGATAGCAAAACGTTCTGTACATTA